TTTACACTGGCTTGGAAAATCCTGGCCTGAGGTTTTTGTCATTATTAACCAAGGCAGCCTGATTGAAATCCTTGGTGGGGAACGTGGGGCTCTGTTACATGAACCATCAGACCAGGATCACCGACTGAATGTGAAGATGGTCCCTGGAGCTGAAGAGTGACATCTGGCCAAGTGCTGCAGCTGAGTTAGTTTTGCGTGTTTTCTCTTCATCTCAAGAAGTTCCAGGAAGTGTCCCTGAAGAGGTCAGGGCTATCATTATCTCAGACCTAGGTTCCTGTGGCTCGGGGCATCAAGAGGACAAGCTGCAGCCTCTTTGGGGCTGGAATAGTCACTCTTCTCAGGGCCAGAAGCAGCCGCTGACTTTTCTGCAGTGAGCTGTGTCTTTTCATTCCATTGCATGTTCCTTAAGGACTTTCTGGAATGAGGGGAATTGCATCTGAAGGCCAAGAAAGCTGTGGAGGCATTTAGCAAGTAGATGAAGTCTAGAGGGGTATTCTTCAGACAAGCAAGCGGTCCCATGGTGGTGAGTCCAAACATCTGCCTGACCCTGGTCTCTAGATTAGCAGGAACCTCTCACCGGGCTTATAAGGCTCCTGCTAGAATCAGACCTGTGACCAGAGTCAGGCTGCAGGATCTGAGCCCATGGTGGCACTTTGATTTTCCTGGTTCTTTAGACCAGCCAGTGGTCTCAGAGCACGACCCTCCCCTGTGGGATGGAGTGGACGTGGAGGATGGAAATGGTGTGTGTGTCACTGGCCTAGAGAGGACAGGTAGCCCAGTTAGTGGAGGAGTAATGCATCCTGGGATGGGCCGGACAGGCAAGCAGGAAACAGGGCCGAGAGAGGGACTGGCCTGTGTTATGAGCATAGACACCTGGACTGAAGGTGGATTTTACCAGCATCATCATGACACCAACAGTTTTGTGATTCTCTCAAAGGTGAACAAACTCCCAGTCCCTTTTTGTGATGGGATTAGAATACAAGAAAGGTCACCTTATCCCCACATTGATCTGGTGTTTGCTACTGGTTTAGCTCCACATCTTAAATACGTTTAAGAAATGCTATGAAAAAAACAGGCGGGTAGAAAAGAAGCCTCGGTCTTACAAAAGAGTGTGCCCTGGACACATTTTGTGAAGATAAAAATCTGTCATTGGAGTCCCACACTGAACATCAGGGAGGATCTGTTGTCTCGCCTGAAGTTCTTGGGTGGTCTCAGTGGAGCTAGGCTGTCACATTGCTCCCCGACAAACCTACCCCAGTGAGTGCAGGTAGGGTGTTCATAGCCCTCTGTCAGCATCAGGTCATGGTGGCTGGGAAGCCAGGGAGGGGCTGGAGCTGTGCATTTACCTGGGTGGTAGAAGGCCACAGATACCTCCAGATATGTCCAGGCTCTGGGGCGCCGTTTAGCTCTTAGCACTACAGGGATGGTTCTGCCCATTCCTCCCCATCTCTGACTCGTCTTTTTCTGTGCTTTTAGAGGGCATGGTTGCTTTCCTTCCTTGATGCAGACAGGATTCTCACGGCTTCCTTGAACCATGCCTCTTCTAACACATGCCAGCAAAACACACCTGTGCAGAGTTGATGTTGGGCTCACCTATTGTCCTCATCATAGCTCCCCAACTGAAATGACCCTGGCTTAAGGGAAGAGGCATAGAGAGGCCACATGGCTTGTTCCAGGGCTGGAACTCGGGTCACTTGGTTCCCCAATGCTTACACTTTCCAGTCTCTTCTGTGCAGCCGTGTATTTACCCAGTAGTCTGGTACCGGGCCATAGCTGCCACCATGATGTTTCAGTGATGGTCCCTGGGGCAGGGTTGAGGGATTGGCCACTCATGAAATCCTAAGGGAAGGAGCTACTTTTAACATGTCCTTATTTTACATTATTGGGTTTCCAAAGTGTACTCATCCATCCCTAAGGATTCTTGGAAATTGAGTATTGCTTTAAAATTCCTCAACTTCTTTATTGGCTGGAAAGCTCTGACACACTCTCTCTTATTCATTTATCCAGCAAGCACCACTGCAGTGTATCCTCCTAAACACACACACACACACACGGCCTCCAGGAAGCCTTCTTTGTGCATCCTTTGTGCATCCCTGTACCTTTTGGTGGTGTCCAGGCACCTAGGTTAAGTGGGCAATCACAAGGGGGCAGATGGTCATTTACAGTGCTCTCTACTAGTGCTGGCCATTGTTTTGCCTGGCCTCACCAACAAGCGATCCAGCTAACTTCTTGAGAATGGTTAGGAACCTGCAAAGCCAGGAAGCTGGTGCTATGGCTGCCAGGTTGACCTCCAGCATGATCCATTTCTGCAGTCTCCTGTGGGTACCTCTGGTTGGCAGGACCTAAAGTCACACATTGAACATGGTTGCAAGGGAGTCTGAGAATTGTAGTTTTACTCTTTCCAACCTACACACCCCATTGTGTAGTCCAAGGCAGACAAATGCCCAGTTCCCAAACCTACATTCCTGAAGAGAGAGGGCAAGTCTGACAAATGTTAGACAGTGGCAGTGCAGAGTGCTCCAGCATAAAAAAGTGCTATTGAAGGGTCTGGCTCTGGGATGTGGCAGATTATGTCTTAGACACTGAAAGACTTCATGCAAATCACCCATGCTCTCAGCTTCAGATGACTTTGATTCTTAAAAAGACAGGAACACAGGCAGGAATCCAGGTTCCTAGGGATTTTCCATCTTTACCAGTTTACCAGGCTTCCTGGTCATGACAGTAAAGGTTATGCTGGGGAATAAATAGCCCATCAGTGGCTTAAAATTGAAATGACTAGAGCTTGTCAAGTTCATGCCACCTGCAGCATGTAGGCTGGGATGGATGGGACTTTAGGGACCCACGATTCTGGCTCTCTAGGCTTCCTCCTCACTTACTCCCACATGTGTATCTGATGAAGCAGGGGAAAAAATGCAGCAACCATACAGGTGTTTCTGCAAATTAGGGACGTGTTGCTTACACTCCTATTTCACTAACCAAAGTGAATCACACAGCCTGCCTAACTTCAAAGGTGTGGAATGCTCAATTCTCCCCTGGGCCAGAACAGGAGAACAGAAACTTGGTGAAGAGCACTAATTAAGAGGGCTGCATCCTTCCTCTTTCCCTATCGCTCACTGCTCAGCTGGGATAGCTCCCATTTCTCCATTTCTATTTTTCTTTTCCTCCAGACATTGACATTTTCAACTCTGAAGCTACTGACACAATTTCCACTTGAACAAGACCTATGAAAAACTAGCAGAGTCTCCAGAGGCAAAATTCTAATCACGCTTTCCCTCAAAAATATCCATGGGTCTGGTCTGTTATGATTTAGCGGCTGGGAATGCTGTGCTTGGTTTTGTGTTAAAATTCCACCTAACTTCCCCGGATCAGTCAGGGAATAAGATAGGTCCAAGAAGCTGGCCCTAGCAGATTCCTCTTGCTGAGCACATGGTGGAGAGGCTTGCTGTCCGTGTAGGCTTCCCCTGACCACCTCCTTACCTGGTCTGAAGCCACTTCTGACTCTCCTGAGGTTCTTGGTGCTTGTACTCATTCCCACTGTTTCATGCTCTCCTTATATTATCAGTCTATATAAACGCCTCACTTCCGCACCAGCTGTGAGCTCTCACACCTGCTAGGAAGCTGATTTGATCTATCTAGAACTGTCCTTAGTACACAGATGGACTTTATGAAGTCCTTTTGAATGGCTCAAGGAATTAATTTCTATATTTTTCCTCAGGGTCTTCCCTTCGGGCGATGCTCAGTGTCTCTCGAGTGAAAAATAGATGGAAGGAGGATAGATGGATGCATACATTTTAAAGGATCAAATATGTATAGAGGCAAGTTAGCATCTCAGAGAGGATGAATAAACCCATTCATTCCCCCAGATAGTTCTGCCCATTCTGTAACTCCTGGACATCAACTCTTGGAACAGAGGGGACCAAATGGGAGCAGGGAGGTCTCAAAGCCACCTATCACTCTGCAACAGAGCCCACGCTCTACTATGCCAGCACCGTCACCCACACATGCACAGGACTGCTGTTTGGTCACAATTTAACTCTTTGGTACCAGGGGCAAGTTTCACTGGGCCAGTGGTGTGGAGTGCTGCTCCCTTGGTGAGTTTCATGGCCTTGGCTGAGTGTGGGAGAAAGGAGCTATAGGACAGATGCACTAGAGCAGTCATAGCAAACCTTTTAGAGCTCTCAAGGATACAAAGAGCCCGCTGTGGCACCAGTGCTACAAGTTTGCCACCGCTGCCCTAGAGGTTTTTGTCTGCCTAATGGCCTGGAGGAGCCTCTGCTTTCCTTGAGAAATGCTTCCCAGGCTGAGATCTCCCAGCGCTCAGAGCCTGGAAGGGTCAGTAGGGTGAAGCAGCTGGAGTCAGAGGGTCGTGGCGCAGTGACCCACATGTGTCCCTCCTGTTCCGCCAGAGGAGCCTCAGGCACCATCTCTTCTCCAGGGAGAGGGGAACAGAATAAATATGGAATCTCATGGCTCATACATCCCTCCTCAGCAAAGCCTTGAAGACGAAGAGGGGATGCAGGGAGATGCAGAAGGGCAGGAATCTGGTTTGTGTGTTCAGGCACGAGTGACAAGAGATTCATATTATCCCCTTTCTATTCAAATAGAAAGATGCAGCCTTCCCCTTCCCAGCTATTTCCTTCCTATTTTGCCTTTGGCTCAAGCCAAGCTTCCCTCTGTCGGGCTTGGCATACTGGAGCTGCCTCAGGGATGGGACCTCTCTGCCTTGGCTTTCCTTTGCTGTCCATTTCATGTGAAAGAGAAACGTGTTTGCATGAGGAAGCCCAGAGGTTTGGATACCATCTTCACTCCAGAGGGCCAGGGGGCCGTTGCCCCACCAGCTCAGCTTGGGCTGGTCACCAGGCCAGAGGAGCACCAGGCCAGTGAGATACTGTCTGTCAATGCCGACCTGTGAGCAGCAAACTGTTTTCTTCCGACAATGCCACCAGGCACCCCCCAAGTAAGAACCCAACCCCATCAATGATACTCTGTAGCCAAACAGGTACCAAAGGATAAATGTGCTATATTAACATGAATACTAATGAGGAATGCACTGCAGTAGTAAGCACGTCATAGATATGTAGAATATTCTCTATATAGTCTGAACACAGATATAAAATAAGTTATACTTGTTTCATTTTCCGTCTCAGTAAGAGCGTAACAGATAAAGTGACTGTCAGTGGCCACAGAGCAAGCTGGGAAGAGACCATGAAGGAGGGTGTAGCACACTGAGTACGGTGGGGATTTGCTGAGGACGTAGCAGAGTCTCGGGACCGGGACCCTACAGGGAACCAGACTCTGGGCCTCCCAAGTTGGCCTTCTGAGAATCAGCATCGGGTCCTGCCTCGTAAGAACTCTTGGCTGCATTTGAGCTGGAATGAGTCAGGCTGATGGGTGGGAGGCCACGCAGGGCCTGGCACGGAGAGTTTCCAGCAGCCCAGCCCACTCTCCTGCTGGGTGGTTGGACGACTGTGATGGTGGGAACGTGGGGTGCACAGCCAGAAGGCACGGTTTGCTTCTATTAGGTGACAGATGGCCCACCAAATGCTGGCTGGTCCTTCTCCCTTGCCAGCTGGTGCTGGGGGCCTGTGAGGGGGCCTGCATGCTCCTTGTTCTCTGTGACTTGTCAGTGGGTAGCAATGCTGGGATCCTGCACACATCACAGTACAGAGACAAGACTGTAGGTCTGAGGTCCTGGCTTTGCATTCTCTCACCATTACATGTGACTTCTGTGAGTTTAGAAAAGTCATCAACTCTTCTGTGTCTCAGGGTCCTCTCCTATAAAGTAGGGGCTAAGAGATCCTTACCTGAGGCCCACAGAGAGAGATGCATATGAGCTGTTAACACAGCTCCTGGACACAGGAGGGGCTGAATAAACACCAGTCAGGTATGAGCATCCAGACATCACAGGCCAGGTGAGAAGAACACCAAAATGACCAACTCCGTGGGCTAGAATCGCTTGGACAGGTTTCCAGCAGGAGACCAAAGATGCCCGCCATCCCCCTTCCAAGTTTTTCTCTTCTCTCCCCATCTGCGATTCTTTGAAATGAGGTGCAGACAGAGTTCAAAGTCAGGAAGACAGAGCCTCAGGACTGGAAAGAACAGAACACATGGCGCAAGCCAACATCTGGGACGCAGTGCTCAGAAGATGCTTTCTAACTCCGCTCTCAGGCCTCGCTGCCCTTTGTTTCTCACATCTCCTAACCCCTGAGTAGATTCTTATTAGGAAGGCAAAGAGGGAGAAATAAAAGCACAGAAAACTAGAGTGAATTGAAAATAAAGTGAATTACCTAGTCAATGAAAAGCCTTTCCCATCTGCTTGGAGCCCGAGCGTGGAGGTGCTGGGGCAGAGGCGGTGCATGAGCCGCAAGTGGGCCATTGAATTGTCCTGGGTCTCTGAGAAGTGGGGGATGGGAGGGCCAGAGGTGTGGCGACATCTCCTAGGGGTGTGGCTGTCCTCGACCAATGCCAGGAACTTGGCGAGGCAACCAAATGAGGATCAGCCTGGAGCAGTCAGCACAGCTATTCCTTCTCATCTACAGTGCAGTTATCAAGACGTGTGTGCATGTGTGCGTGTGTGTACGTGCGTGTGCATGTGTGGTCACTGCTCCCATACCCTCCTCTAACGCTGCCTCTCTGAAGCTGGCCCTGCCTCTGTTACTCTGCAACTTTCCTCTTGGATGGGGGCAGGAGGTGGGCAGGCAGCTCACTGGGCAGCTCATGTCCCTCCAGCTTGACCTTGATGAGGTGGTTGGCTAGTGCAAACTCCTCGTCATCCAACATGCCATCCTTGTCGATGTCCGCCAGCTTCCAGATCTTGCCCAGAACACTGTTGGGCAGCTTGGAGCGCACCATCTCCTTCTTGGCATTAGCACCTGTGATCTTGCCATCCACGGGGGACAGGGTGTAGAAGATCTCATCGTACATGGGCTTGTCCCGGGCCACCACCCACTCGGCGTCATCGATGCCCTCACCAGCCCCCTCCCCATAGCCATGACCGAAGGGGCCGTGCAGGGTGCCCTCGAAAGCTCCGCCCTTCACCATCTGTATGGGCTGCTGGATCTCCTCCTGGCGCACCAGCACCATGAGCTGGGCGATGTCGTGTGCCAACATGTCATCCACCACCTCCAGCAGCTTGCTCTTCAGTGGCTGGAATTTGCTAAAGTCCTGGGCCTGCAGCTGGTCCTGGGAAGAGAGAAAGGTGCAGATGGAATATAATGGAAGGAGATCTTCCATTTGTCAGGAGGGGGCCTCCTACCACGTTGGAATGGTCATAGCCTGGCTGCTTTCCAAGGAAATGGGTCTGGCCCAGAGGCCGATCTAATTGACATCACAAAGTCATCACAAATATGAGAAGGAGGAGAAAAAGCGCCCTAGTGGGCTGAGGACTACGGACAGAATTTTGCAGGAAGAAATAGAACAGGTGCAGGGGCTGGGGAAGAAAAGGAATGTAAACAAATATGGTTTGATCTATTTAGATCCCTTCCCTTTTGATGTTATACAGAGAGTAAATCATTAAATTTCTCTTTAAATTAGTTTTGAGTGTTGAATGGCAATCCTTGAATGGTGTGTCCCTCTGATGCTGGGTCATGTAGGTCTCTAATTAGGGTTATACTGGAAAATCACAGGAAGTGCTTTCACTACCTGGTTCCCTGGGTCTCTCCCCACATTGTTCTGTAGGTAGTCAAATCCTATTCTACTCACATTTAGTGAAGGAAAATGGAGGCAACTAAAAACAGATCATAATAAAAGCTAAAAGTCAATCCCAAACCTATGGTTCTTCATCAGGATGCTTACTGGAACTGCCTAGAGAGAATTTTCAAAAGATTTCCTCTACCCATGGATTTGACATAGTAGGAACAGGCAGGGAGGCAGATTTGGCAACAAACCCCTGGCCCACTTGCGCATGGCTACCCACACACACTGTAAAATAAAGATGCTCTTTGCATATCTCTGTGATTTTTGAAAGTCTAGAACACCCAGCTTCTCCCCGGCCACAGCAATTTCAGCAACCTGGGGAGAGGCCAGTGCACAGGAACAAACACATCAAGTTCACCACGGAAAACTTCAGGAAACACCCACTTTGAGAGCAAGTGTTAGCTGGATACTTCTCACCTTTCTTCTAGGGCTGGGCCAGTGGAGCATGGCTCTTCTCCTGCCAGGTCTTTACCCTAACTAATTCCTGCAGTCTCTCCCAGGCCACTGGGTGGGTTCCAGTGTCTCCCAGTGGGATGCAGTCAGCATACCTAACTATAGGATCCACTGCTGGACTGGCAAACAAGTGAGAAGGTGAAAGTCACTCACATTACAAAAGGCTCCTTACATTTTTATTAAAATGTCATCTCCCCACGTGTTTGCTTATAGATCATCAAATTCTTAACAGAAGGAAAAACAAAGAGCTGAAGGGTTTTAAGCCACAAATGATTGAGATTAGCTAACCCAGATTAGCTTCATGCAATCCTGAAATTGGTACCTGACTCATGCTAGGGAGTTGTATGAATGAACAGATCCATGGACAAATGGAATGTTCAGTTACTTTTCTTTTTACTTTATTAGGAAGGAAACTAAAATGCATAGTTGGGACTAGTAGTGTCCTGAAAACCCTCATCTTAAACTGAGAAACTTGCTCCCACCCTGAAGATCAAAACAAGAGCATCATTTATTACGGATACTTCTGTGGCTGCTGGTTTTGGTTTCCTAATTCCCTAGTTTAGTCATTTAATTCTGAAGTAACTCTAGCATCACATGACCTTGTAAGGAGAGCACAGAGGTTAAGTTAAGCACCCAAAGGCCCAGAGAACCTTGACCTGTCCTACCACATGGGAGACAGTGGAGATGTCAATCCTGTGGTGGCCGTAACTGGAGAAGGTCTAAATGCAATGTCTTAAACATCATCTGAAATACCTGCCACCCTGGGCACAGTGGGATCCACATTTTCCCCAGGCTCAGAAGTGGCATCTTTTGGGGATTGGCAATCCAGTAGGGAGGACAGGTCTAGGGCCACTCCCTGCCTTCTGATTCTGGTTTCAGTTTCCTCTGAGAGCTCTGACAGCCCCCTCCTCCATTCTCTGCCTGCCAGCTTGAGGGACACTGTCCCTTGTCCTACAGGTCCTTACTCTGCTTACCTGCATCCTCTTCAGGTTGGGAAAATCCCCAGGCGAGATCTGGTGCTCCCGCTCGATCCGGCCATAAATCTCAGCCAGGTTGTTCACCAGCTCCTTCTTCTTGTTGTCCTTCCCAAACACTGAGGGCATCTCCTTCTTCAGAGAGCTGATAATGTACGCGTGGACCTGACAAACAGGGCCAGTGGCAACCTTCACACCCGGACCCTTGACTAGCCCCTTTTTAGTCCTGTTCAGCTTGCCTTTTCCCACTAACCCTTCCTTCCCCCTTTCCTGCTCCTGCTTCTGCAACCATTTTTCCACCCTCAGGTAGCGCTGGGCCAGGCAAGGAGAGGATATGGGGACATGGTCAGGGTAGCAATGGGGGTGGGAATGCTGCTGCTGCAGACACCAAAGACAGCAGAGCTCTACTGAGCCTTTAAGCACCAGGCGCTAGGATGAGGGCTTGGACTCCCTTTGTTCCACTTCATCCTCCAATAACCCTTCCATTTTACAGATCTCTGGCCTCCTGGGGTTAGAGATTACTCAGGTGGTAAGCACTGGCCATCTGACCCAGGCCTGTGACCAGAGGGTCAAGTTAGCAAGGCGGATGCTCATGACACCATCAGCATGGTTACAGCACAGTCCCTCTTGCCAGGTGGCAGTCCCCCTGTTGGAGGCAGTTGTCACTTTTACAGCTTAACCCCTAGATCTGTGACCCTGCCCTTGCTGCTGTCCCCTGGGGCAGCCTCACCTTGGCCAGCCTGGCTCTCTTGATGAGGTCATTGAGTTTTCGGAGGGCGGCGTTTCGGGGTAGGCTCTGGATGTCCCTGAACAGGTCCTGCTCCTCTGCTTCAAAGAGCTTCCGGTTGTCAGGGATGAGGAGGGGGTGGGACCAGAAGGAGCCAATGTAGACCCGAATCACCTCTGGGGTGTTCACAATCTTGCCCAGCGACCACATGAGGGCTCCATACACCCGCATCAGCTGCTGTGTCTCGATCTGGTCGGCCTTGTTCAGCACCACCCGCATCTTGTCCTCATGGTTCTTGAGGGCCTTGATGACTTCCGAGAACTCATCGGAGATGTCCAGCTTGTGGGCATCGAAGAGCAGTATGATGCGGTCCACCCGCTCTGCAAACCACTCCAGGACTGCTGCAAAGTCATACCCTGGCGGCAGAGGAACAGTCAGCGGAGGGGCCTTTGGGGCATGAGTGTGCGGGGTGATACAGTAGAAATAACTGTCAGATCTGAATTCAGATCCTGGCTCCTCCACATCCTATCGGGCCTTGAGCACATTACTCAATGTCCCTAGTGTTTTTAAAATCTAAAACGTGGGCATACTATCACTCCTACTAGAATGGTGAGGAGTACTCAGAGCCCAGTATTCAGTAGATGCTCAGTAAGCGCTATATGCTATTATAAACATCTCTGCTCCTCTAAAGCACAGCCACCATCGAGCTCTCCTATTCTTGCTTATTTAATTTAGCAGCCAGAAGCCCTGCTGGAAAAGAAAATTCTGGATACTTAATTTGAATAAAGACTCAGGAATATTTTTATAAGTTCCCCAAAAAACAAAACAGTAAAATGGCAGTTACCAATGATGGTTCCGACCATGCCCATCCCTGCTCTGGCACAAATCTGAGCTCTTGTTAGGAACACACTGACTTGATCTCATTTCTTTCCTCATTCTCTGCTGCAGCCCAGAACTCCTGGCTCTTAAATCCATGAGGGGTTTCTTCCTTAAATCCATAAAGGTGTTTACTGGACCACCGGTGGCCACACCTTGGTCATCCATTGCTGATCTATCAAGTCCAGGGGCCCCAGAGCAATGCTGTGCTCAACCCCATGCTGCTGCACATCCAGGAGAGGCTGGAGGGGAGGGTGTCCCAGCAATCTGCACAATTACCAGCACTAGAACTAGAAGAGGCCTTGTCTCTCCATACTCAGTATCTTCTTCCATAAAACAGAGGCACAGTACGTGAGGAGGCTCAGGGAGGTCAGGTGACCTGCTCGAGGACTCACATCCCATGATAAGGATGGAGATGTCAGGCTTCCCCAGTCTGAGTCTGTACAGGGCTCCCAGGCTCATCTCTCATTCTGCCAGTCTCCCATGGCACACCCCTGGCACAAGGCCTTCCTTGGGTGTGGTGTGACCAACAACCCTGGTACCCATTAGCACATAGGTTACAAAAAGTTACTCTGGGGACTCAAAACTCATTGCCAAGGTTGAGTGGAAAGCCAAACCCTTAGGGGAAAACCATTAGTTTCTGCCCTGCCTCAGAGAGGGGGGCCGCCGCCTAGTGACTGAGCCAGACTAAGGAGCTGTCTGCAATGGGGGTCCTCACTGCCACCTGATCAGAAAGCCCTGCAGGGCTTGTTAAACCCTGAGTGGCTGGAGCCACCCCTCCAACCCCCCAGTCTCTGACCCAGTAGGTCTGGGGCAGTCAATCCTAGGCAAAGCCCTAGGAGAGACTATTGCTGCTGCCAGTCCAAAGGCCACACTGAGAACCATTGGTCCACAATAATAATAAACTAACACCAACACAGCATCCACTAGGTGCCCAGCACCATTCTAAGTGCTTTGCATGATATGAGGTAGAAACTAATATCAGCCCCATTTTTCAGATCCAGGAGAGGTACAGGAAACTGTTGGAGGTTACTGGCTGCTAAGAGGTGGAGCTGGGATTCAAACCCAGGAAGGCGGCTCCAGAATCAGTGCACCAGCCTCTACCCTAACCTGGCTTCGAAGGCTGGTGCCATTTCAGACTCAGCCGTGGGCTTAGATGGGGCAGGGGATGAGGGCAAATGGGTCAGGCCAGGGAGTCAAGGTTTCCAGGTGGCCTTATCAAGGGCAGAGTGACCTGCTGTCCATAGCTGCCTGGAGGAGCCCTTTGGTGCGTTCCAGGCTTATGGGAGACCCCAATCAGGAAAGGAGACAAGCCCCCTTGACACTCACTGTCCAGACTCCAGGGGGTGCTGTGGGTGACACACTTCCAGGGATTATCATCCCCTGGTGACTTTCTGTCAGCTGCCAGTTAACACAGGGTTCCCTCTCCCTGCTGCTGAAGGACAGACTCACAAGCCGGGGGCCCCTGAGAGGGCAACAGTCCAACTCTCTGACTTAAGAAGAGGAGAACTGGGGCACAGACGGGCGGAGTGGGCCCAGCAGCACCCAGGTATCCTCCGAGTCCCCTTGGAAGGCTCCTGCATGGCGGGAGCTGAGGCCTGGTGACACCACACCCTGACAAAGGGCTGCAGAGGCCCCTCAGCCTGGTCTCAAGGCAGAGGGTTACCAGCCCCGCCTCGGAGATGGTCACATGAGCTCTGTGTGTCCAGTGACTCCAAGACCACCCCTCCTGGGGGAAGCAGCCCGTGTGCTCCAACTCCAAGTCCAGGGCCAGCTCCAGCTGGAAAGTTCTGCTGTGACCTCCCCTCCCCTCACCACCCGCTCCGAGGCAGGCAGTGTGAAGAGCGGCACTCTCACTTCCAGGGCAGGGAGCTGGGGTTCACAGGGCGGTGGGCAGGAGTGGCCCCACCACACGCAGCCCTGTGAGGCAGACTTCCCACACCAGAGCCCAGGAGGCTGTGCACTCCCTGCCAGGTGGGCTGAAGCCTGCTCCGCTTCCCTCCCCTCTCCAGGCCTCGGCTCAGCCTATTTTTATCTTCCCTTTAGCCGCCAGCTGGCAGGGCTGCCCACCTCCAGAAGGCAGTCCCTCCGAGCCCTGGCTGTGGGAGAGTCAGAGGGCTCAGGAAATCTGGGCGACCTGATCCTCCCGCCCCAACCCCCACACCTGAAAACACGTCCAGGTTTCCCTGCCCTGGTGCCTGGGACAGCAAGCTTTGCCCTTCAGAGCAGGCGGGAATGGCAGCGAGCTCAGAGGCCTCTGTGTTCTGCTAACCAGCCTGGAATGGGTCTCAGTGGTGGCAGGGCAGGCTACAGGGAGGCGCCACTGGGCACAGCACTCTGTTCCCCCGGCCTGTCCAGCGCTTCAGCCCTCAGCGCTGGTGTGTACACTGCGCATATTCGCTAAGGCAGCCAGGCTGGCACTTCTGCCAGGAAAACAGAGGTTTACACAGGGTAAGGGGCCCAAAGCCTTGTGGGATCAAGGGTCAGAGCCAGACCCAGGGTCCGAGCCCAAGCTCAGCACTGTAGCCACTCCTCCCCTGGGCTGGGGACAGCAAAGGCACCAGAGAAGCTGCAGAGAGAAGAGGCACTGCCTTCCCTCTCCGCTCCCTGTCCCTGTCCCTGAGGGCACAGTAAGAGGAGAGGAGGCTGTGTCTGCAGGGGGAGGAGGATCCCTCACCCCGCCCAGCCCAGCACTGCCCTGGAAAGCGAGCAGGGGAGCAGGAGCTTATCCTGGCTGCCAGAGCAGGCAGCCCCAGCAGGAGCCAGTGCCCACAGGCAGGATCGGTCCTCTTGGAGGTCTGTGCGCGCAGCCGCGTGTGGCAGTGCTCTGTCACCACAGGGATCCTCCTCGATGCCTGGCAGCTGGGCAGGGCGGGCTGGGGCAGCCTCCCTTCTCTGCTTCCCCTGTGCCCAGTGGGGCCTGGCCGATGGCAGGTGTTCCAGCAGTATCTGCTGAACAGAACAGAAGTAGGAGCCCTGTCTGCAGTGCATACCCAGGAGGTAGTGAACAGATCCTCTCTGGGTCATGGTTTTCTGGTCTAATTTAGAAGCTGCCGGTGCCTCAGTCATACTGTTGTGAGGATCCAATCAGAGGATGCAGGTAAAACTGAGTAGTTGTGACCTTGGCTATCCTTACTCCCCTACCTGCTATGCACCAGGGTCTGTAAGATGGAGGTATCCTAAAGGGGCCCCAAAGAAGCACTGGCCTGGGCCACTCTAGCTTCTGCTCATCTACTAACTTGCTGTGTGTCCTTGGGCAAGGAGCATCCTCTCTCTGACTCTTAATCTCTTTGCCTGTCAAACTCAGATGGAAGATCCTGGGCTTCCTTTCTTGGTTCACAATTTTCTGCAGGTGCGAGGATGAGAACACAGCGGGATGGACAGAGATTAGACATAAGGATGCCTTTGCAGGCACTGTGGGTGAGAAAAGGGCCTGGAGCCTGCTGTCTTAGGTAAACTGGGCGTGCTTGTGTGACGTCTGCTCCTACCGGAGACAGGGAGGCAGCTTCCAGAACCCTTCTTAGGAATTTAGAAGCACGGAAGCCTCCTATTCATCCTCCTGCTTTTGCAAGTGTTGCAAGCCCTGGCAAGCTGCTACTGAATGACAAACAGTGATGCCAGGAGCTTTCTCCCACTGTGGCTATGAAGATCAGGAGAACAAAGCAGTGACTTCGAGGGCTCCTCAGAAGCTCACCCTCCCTGCTCCTCCTAATCTGGAGGGAGCCCATGGAACCTGTAGGGTGGACATGTAATTGCTTCCATCGCCTGGACTTACCTGCATGTCCAGGAATGGAGGCATCTAAAAGGCACAGGCTGGACCCCGAAAGGAAAAAGACTAATCTATTTTCTGAGTGATTTGGGCAAGTCTGAACCTTAGTTTTCTTAGCTATAAAATGGGAATAATAATGACTGCTTGCATGATGGGTACATGGTAGAGCCATGGAAACAAGATGCATGTTAACAAGCCTTGGAAACAAAGTGGAAGAAGGTGTGGCTTCAGTCTGGAGACTGCGTCAATGTCCAGGATGAATGGCATGCTTGGTGACAGGCCCCTTTCCCACCTTCGGTCCCAGGAATGGCTCTACTGAGTACCCACAGAAGCCCAAGGTCTGTGAAACAAGGACATTGAGAGCAGAAGCTTTCCCTCACCCCCGAAATCTCCCTTCCAACTCTGCAGGCTCTGGGGAATCTGGTGGGCGGGCTCCATGCCGGAGACTGAGCTGCCTGCAGAGATCTGGGACTCCCCACCCACACTCCAGGGATCCGGAGAGAAACCATTTCCAAGCAGTCAGTACCAGGCAGGAGGAAATCAATGAGACAAACTCAATAAGCGAGGCCACTCCTTAGCCACCCAATGGCTTTCTTGAGGTCTAAAATGCAGAGCAGGGCAGCACTGTTCTTGGTGTTTTCAGCTGCATAATCGACCTGCTAGTGCTCCATAGGCCAGGAGGTGGACAGAGCATATACATCTCCAGGAGAGGAAGCCAGGCCACAGAGAGAGGGTGAGCAGCTCACCATTCTCTTTATCCCTGTGTGAGCCTGGAGCACAGAGAACTGAGCCCTCCCATCAGGCACTTATGTGCAATGAATAGGTAATAAGTCCCATCTCTCCCCTAAAATCACCAACAAGATTTAAAGATTTTAGCAAAAGAGAAATAAAAAGGTGTCCATCTCCAAAATGTGGGATGAACTCAGATGACAATAGGGAGCAAATGTTGCTCTGGTTGCCTCCTGGAAGCGGCCTCCAGAAGTGGCCAGAGCAGCCTTGTCATGGGCCTCCAGACAACCACAAAGCTGCGGGTGAAGCCTCCTGCAGGCACTGGGGCTTGGCTGCTCTGCCCGGGCCTGTGACTGCCCACATAGGCATGTGTTTGCCAGCATGCTAAGTGCTGACCCGGCTCCAGTGAGGGTGCCAGGTAGGGGCCAGGGGTGTGAGGCTGGGAGGACCCACACAGACACCCCCAGTCTGAGCCCCAAAGGCCCCAGAGCAAACCTGTAGATGAGAAATTTGCCCTCATTCCTACCCACTTGCTTTTCCCAGGCAAGCAATGACAATGTGCTGAAAAGCCACTGGACTAAGAAGGAATTGGGAGGTTAGTTTCCACTCCAGATGTGTGATGTGGGCCTGCTGAGTGCACCTGTACAGGAAAGGTCTCACTGGTAGCATCCAGGTGTGTATGAAGCGCAGGGGTGGCTCTTCCAGGGTGGGCCAGTGGGGACTGCTAGCTGGGAAGCAATCTGGGAATGTGAGGACACATGGCCTTCCGGAGTCTTCCCAGTAATGAGCCGGCCAGGCACATCCTGCCACTTCCCAGAACTGCCCCACCGACTGCCTCTCCTGCCCACCCAGAGTGTCTCCATCCAGAGACCAGGCCTGGCACCTTCTCAATCTGGCTTTCCCTGAGACACATACTCCTTCAAGCCTAGCAAAGGGACACAGCCTGAGCAGGGACCACATTTGCTGGGCTGCAGCTGGAAGCCTGTGTTCCTCCCCATGGGGCCGAAAGCCACGGGGGCGTCCTTGGGAACAGCCCCTTTTCCAGAAAGGCCAGTCCAGAGTGGCTCCTCGGTGTCTCTGGGTTGACCTGAGACCGATGTTCTCTTGACAGCAAGACACAGCACTGAGCCAGGCCTGAGGACAGCCGAGTGGGACGTGGGCTGGATTTCAGGCGCCAGGTTCCCCTGGGCCAGGTACCCCCTGTGCAGGGCATGGTCTGCAGGGCTGTCCCTGGGGGGGGCGGGGAGTGCCAAGTCTGCTCTGTCATCTTCCCCAGCTACCTGGAAGGCCCAGGCAAGAAGCTGAAACTATGCCAGTTCAGTTCTGTGAATACACCTATGTGCTTGGTGTAGGTCTAGGGAGGAGCATGTGCATGTGTGTAGGTTTAAATAGAACCCTGGGGCTCTGTGGCTGATTGTGAGGAAGGCTGGGAGGGGCTCTGCATGCTGGAGATGCTCCTCATGCAGGGTGCCCTTGATAACAAAGGGTGCCTGACGCCCTCCGTCAGCATTGGCCCAGGCTAGCAACCCAATGCTGGTGGGCCAGCCTCCAGCCCTTGCTTTTCTCATGGGCTGCTTTTGTTAGCGGCTGCATCTGCAGGCTGGACTCAGGCAGGCAGGGAGCACACCGTCCTGCACAGCCTCTCACAGACCCATCCCTTCTCCCAGAGGTGAGCCCGCCTGCTGCTTAGCATGGGGTGGCGTAAGAGGAGAGGAAGTGCAGCCAAGAATACCAATACCCAGCTTGCGCAGGGAAGCCACTGAGCTCCAAAGACAAACAGAGGAGAGAAGATAGGGGAAGAGGAAAACAACGGAATGGGATAGGGTCTGTGGAAGGCAGGAGTCCCTGGGAACAGGACTGCCAGATCCAGCGACACAGGCTATGTACTGCACATGGCAAGGAACACTGTTCACATAGGTTACCTTGGGGTTATATAATGGGGAACCCTGGAGGGCAATCAAGGAGGGAAGACAGGAGCTCACCATGATCCAGGCCTGGTGCTGAGGTCTATGTTTCCATTACGGTCTGTGGACTTCACCATGAGGCTGTGTGATGCATATCATTACCCTTTGTTCTACCTGGGGACACAGGCTCAGGGAAAAATGTGACCTGTTGGGATCCCCAGAGTTCTAAAGCCCAGAATTTGGGACCCCTAGTATGCTTGGAAATCCCCGAGGCTTCCTCTTGGGCTGCACTGGTCTTGCAGGAACCTTGGCCCAGCTCTACCCTGGCTGAAGAGACACTGATCCTCCCAGCTTCCCTGAGGAGCAAGGGAAAGCCTCTTTGGGCCTGAACTCGGGGTGGGCCTCATGAGCCACTTGGGGTGGGGTGGGACCATTTAGGAGGGAGAACTGAGGACCGCCCAGGTTGCCCCTCCATGGTCTTAGAGCCGGGAGCCATGCGCGCACAGAGGACCACAGGTGGGGAGGTGAGGATGAGAAAGCCCTACCCTCAGGGCCAGCGTCTACCACTGCAGCCCAGCCCCCGCACCTCCACCATGGCCCACACTGAGTGGGCTAGGGGACCCGGCTCCTGCAGAGGTGACACTATGCCACCCCAGGCTCACAGGCCACCGATTGCAGGGGTTGTTAACACTGTGCCTCAACACCCCTCCTGACCCAGCAGCTTCCTTCCCCTCTGCCTCCTGAGTTTCACCTCCTAACTGTGGGTGTTGGGCATGGGGGAACTTTCTACTCAGGGCCCAGCCCCATGAGGACTCCAGGACATTCCCTGAAGCACAGCCTGAGGTTAACCTGGCCCTTGTGCGGGCTGCTGCCAGGCAGGCCTCTCTTGCTCCCTTCCCTCTCTACTCACACCCCAGGCCATGGTGCACCCCCAAGAGTGATACCCAGGCCTGTGGCCCCACCTGTCCTGATCGGAAGAGACTTTCTCCAGCAAGGAAGTCAGGGCTGCTCTCAGGGCGCTGGACAAAGGCCAGTTCTGGCACCACAGATCTAGACCACTGGGGCTCATGACACACAGTTCCAGGAGCACTCACTGGTCACCCTGTGACTTTGCCCTCAGGGTCCTGGGAGTGAGCAGTGCTGGCTGGGGCAGGCTGTGCCCTTGAAGGGAGGGATTTCTGGGCCCTCACGGCAGTGGCACAGTTGGGGGCAGGACAGAGCTCTGGAGCCCGGCAGCACAGAGGGCTGAGGCCCAGGCCACAGAGGCAGACGTCACCTGAGGTCGATTCGGGAGACTCCCTCAGCAGCTTCCTGGAGAAAGTTGCCAGTCCACAGCTGTCCCTTCCTGGAGGGAGGCTGACTTCCAAGTGCTGAGTTGGCTGTAGGCCCAGCTCCCATTTACAGTACTGGGGTGGGTGCAGCACATCTGATTTCCTTGATGGAGACATCACGTGTGACATGGTAAGGATGAGGGCCAACCCCAGGACACGAAGCAAATGTGGCAAGAGAGGATTGGGGGGGGGAGCCAGGGTTTTAGCTTTCTACAGCATCAGCCAACATCTTAGAGACAGGGGACTTACAACATCTCATGTTTACCGGATGCTTGCTACGTGTCAAGCATTTTAAATGCTTAATCCTCAGACAACCCTACAAGATGGATTTTTCACTCAGGCAAAGAAACAAACCAGAGTCACTGCTAGGAAAGAACAGAGGCCGGCATGGAACCTGTCAGTCGGCTCCAGAGTTCTGTCTCCCACCCACTGCACTGTCACCTCCCTAAGTGAGCACTTGCTCCATATTTATCTGGAGTGAAGAGTTCTCAAAGTGCTCTCACAGGCCGAATGCCCCTCTTACAGCCCCATGAATGCTGTCATGCTCTGCCACAGCACCTGCCTGCCAGCCGGCTCTCTAGACACATCTGCTTCCCCTACAGAGCTGGAATCCAGGGCAGGGACTACAGGAACTTGCAAAGAATTGAATGTGCCTGAGCTTGTTTCTGCTTCCTCTACTCAGTTCTATTGATTCACATTTCTGGTTTGGGGCCAGTACCATGCTGTTTTTATTACTGTAGCTTTGTAATAGAACTTTGAATCTGGGATCATGATGCCTCCTGCTTTGCTATTGTTACCCAGAACTGTTTTTGCCATTCTGGGTCACTTCTGGCTCCATATGAATTTTTGGATTGTTTTCTCTAGATTTGTGAGGAATGCTGTTGGTATTTTGACTGGGACTGCATGAAATCCATATATCAGTTTTGGAAAGGCCATAACTTTAAATATCACATAGTTTTTCTTGTATGAGAAAACCAAGATATAAACAAAGACCAAAACAAAGGATAGAGAATAGGAAGTAAGGAGAGCTTTTTCAAATAGGAAGGGGAACAAGAGTTGGAGGGAGCAGGGAAGGATGGGAGAAGGGGATGAAAAATTACGATGTGTTCTGCACACGTACAAACTCTCCACAATAAATGTAATCGCCATGTACTATGAACATGTACTAATAAAAACACATACTTAATAAAAAGGAGGAAAGGAAGGGGGAGGGGAGGGGGAGCAGAAGGGGGAGAGGGGAGGGAAGAAAGCAACTTGCACAGGAGCCACGCCAGTTGCTTCTTAGACAATGAGTAACTTCAGGTAAGTGAGGCAGATGGTGATATCCCACTTTACAGGTGAGAGGACTGAGACCAGCTGAGCTCAGCTGCTGGCCCCCAACTAGGTCTGTCCCACACAAAATCGACCCACACAGCACACACGTGCCCACCCATGAAGGAACAGAAGGCTGTGGCCGCTTCTCTTCTAATACAGAAGAGCGACAACACAGGAACATAATGTGGGCCTGGAGCCACCACACTCCAGTGTCTGGCCTACCTCGGCTGATCCTCTGCTTCTCCCCAGACAGGATCCCTGGAGTGTCAATGACGCTGATGCTCTCCAGCACGGCGTTGGGCAGCTGGGCACAAACGAACCTGCACAGGCAAGAGGAGGGCCCCAGTAAGGACGCATGGGCCTTCCCCGACCCAGCTGCACAAGTCTGGTCCCCGGTCTGAGCCATGTGAGCTGCAGGTGTGTGCTGAAAGGCTCCAGTTCACCCACAGCAGGGCTGCTGCCCAGCTTCTCTACGTGGTCAGTGAGAAGACCCCATTCTCTCTCCACAATGGGGCCCTGGGGACAGAGGCAGGAGGAGCCTCAATGTCTACACACAGAATCAGGGTGTGGGGTCCCCTTGCTGGCAGGCACATGCTCTCCCTCTGTGTTCTGACTTGGAACCCTACTCTGCAGAAGACAGTCTGTGGGCGCCACGGGGCAGCGGATCACAAGCACAAAATGGCCCTGGGGATCTGCACTTTGAGGACCTCCCTGGGGGACCCTGAGGCAGCTACAGTTCATGCTTGTGAACCCGTGCTGTTGAGCACCCGAGGATGTCCGATTTCCATCCTTGCTCCAGACTTGTAGAGGAGAGAAGCCTTACCCATGGGCAGACCCAAAGCAGACAGGGGGCTTCCAGGCACGGCTCCCTGGAGCAGGCAGCACTGGGGCTGGCCTGGAAGGATAGGTCATCCTGCATTTACTTGGGCAACTAAAGGACCATCTGGCCACCCAACATGGCTCCAGGATAGCAGTCAGGCTTTATTCTGGGTAAGCAGGGCACCATGGGCTGATGGGAACCTAAGAAAGGACTGCAGCAGTGGCAGGTGGAAGAGGCCCTGTTCCCTGATGTTCGCTTGTGGACGTGCCTGGCAAACCCCTATCAGACCAATCCCCGACCAGTGCAGCGCTGCACGTCACAGACCCACAACGCGTCATCTATGTCCTAGTCACGGCCCTGAGCAGGCACAGAGTTTTCACTCCTCCCTGTTTGTATATTTTCTCTCTCTTCCATGTTCTCTGCATAGAATATCCTTTCCTCACCCTTTTGGTGTCATTCCCATCACTTACTGTCAACGTCAAATGCCAACTTTTCCACGCAGGCCTCTCAGCCCTATCAGCCCCTGCCTGTGTCATCACTGGCCCTCTACATCTCTGTCCACTGGGCTGGAGTCTGCCCAAACTCCATGCCTTAGCCGGGCCTGGATGGGGACAGGACCGCCCTCCACAGGCCACCTTGCATTCTGGCAGGCAGCCTTCTCTCCAGGCCAGCATCTCAGGGAGGCCCTGGCGTTGCAGGGTCTGGCCTATATCCCCTTCCTCGGCTCCACACCTCAATCACTGAAACCACAGATTTAAAGAGAGTCTAGACCCCTTCACAGCGCTTCCTTATACCCACATGTTACTCTTCTCATAATACCTCCGTGTATAATGTCTTACAAAGCATGTTCATAATAGTCAAATTATATTTTTAGGGTTAAAAGAAAACAGTTGAGCAAGGCATATAATGAGATATAAAGGTCTCCTTCCCCTCCAGCCTGCTTCTCTTCAATGCCATTTTCTCCAGGTAACCGCGAAAGTAACCACTCTTCTGTTGTTGTTGTTTTTTTTTTTTTTCCTTTTTTTCTCCCAGATTTTCTTTATGCACATTTGCAGGAAGAGGTTGGGGCACAAAGAATTTGTAATTTGCATTTTATCATATTTAGAGATGAAGACAATCACATTGAAAGAAGTTAAGCGTCTTTGGCTCACCCCTGGGCTTTCATGTGTGTAGCCAGGGAGACCTATGGGGTTTGATCAATGACATAAAGGCTCTCAACTCGCAGGCATGTGAGGCCAATGACATACATTCATGTTGTTGTGACAGACTCTGTGCTACTACATAGAACCCAACATGCTATCACCAGTCTATACTACTACCGCCAAATGGGGTCAACCACTAACTCTGTGCCCCTCACCTCCGATGATCCCAACCGCCTCTTGCACGCCCCGGGTTTTCTCTCCTTTCCCCTACAGTCCAGCACCTCATCTCTGCCTCCGGACGGATGATGCTCCTCAGCTGTCCACTCTTTCACTGCAAACTTGATATGCCCAGTCCGATCCATCACCCCTCCCAGATGCTCCTGCCCCTGTTCACCCCTGCGGACTCATTCTCTCCACCGGGCTCACCCCGGCCCTACCCGACTCTACATTTCAGCATCTTGGAACAGGCCTTTCCCTTCACGCTGGGCTGGAGCCTCCTTAGCACCTCAGCTGCAGGTATCAGGGACATTCCTGGGCTCCAGGACACCTGTCCCACAGCACTGCCACCGGCACCGGCACCCTCAGTCTTCTTATACCCAACTCAGTCTTCTTTCTTATGTAGCCCAAGGGAACCTCACAAGCCCCTCCCTGCCAGGCCAACTCCCAGGATTCCTCAGCACAACTTCCTCTGCTTTGGGAGCAGCCCTGCCAGCTCACAGTTCCATGCTATTCACCTGGCTTCTTGCTTATCTCCGTCTCAGTGTCATCCAGTCTGTGTCACTACGTACGAGACAGGTGAGAAATATTCATGCCTTTCTAAGAATTATTGCTCAGGATAAAAGGTGTTGAAAATCCTTTGGGGACTGAGTATCAGCTTCTACAACTGCAAACATAGCGATCACAATCTCCACTTTCCTCACCGAATAGTGTGGGAATCAAATAAAAAATACATGATAACACCCCTCCACAACCTAACACTTTGTTGGTTACTATGTGCCAGACACTAAGCATTCTCTGTTCAATAGCTCACTTCTCTCTCCTTCAGCTCCCTGAAAGAAGATATTATTGCCACACTACTTCACAGAGTGGAAAAGACAGATACAAAGAAGTTTAGTGATTTTTTTTTTTTCAAGATCCAGTCAAAATCAGGGTTTGAAGCCAGGTCTTTCTGAACCCAAAACCCACGTTCTTTACCTTTACTCTAAAAATCTCCAACTAGAAAAAGTAGCTTTAAAGCATAACAGATACATAAAATTGGATTTATAAGCATAACAAGCGTGAGAAAGGGACCAGCCTGCATTCTAGTTAAGAGAATACCAGTGTGAAGGCCCAGATTAGCTTGCCAAGTACTCCCTAGAGATTTTTCCATTCCAGTCCTCACGATAACCTTGGGGTCTGCCTGAACTTGCCCCAGAGGAGAGGTGACATCGGGCAGGTCACCCAGGGAGTGCAGTAGGAGAGTCAGCCCTCAAAGTCCAGGATTCTTTCCACCAGGTAAAAACAATCTCCACAGACAGAAAAGAACCCTTTTCTGCTGCCTTCTGGTTGGGTGCAAATTCCAGCCATGCCATAGGCAAAGAATGGGAAAGGTGCGGATGGCTCCCTTCTCTGGATGAAGAAATGGGATGGAAGTCATTGTTTTTTTTGTTTTGTTTTTTGGTACATGGGGATGGAACTCAGGTCCTTGTGCTTGCGCAGCAGGCAGCAAAACCTCTGAGCTAAATCCCCGGCCCTCGAAGTCATTGTTGTGCCCTTCCTGCTCCTTGAACAGGAGGAATCAGCACAGCCTTTGCCGCTCACACATTCCTCCATGGCAACCACCAGGGCTACATTCCCAGCCAGCAAGGGATGGCATATGGAAAAGTTACCTGGTGTCCCAAGACCACGCCCTTGCCCTTCACCTCCCATACTCCAGAGAGCAGCAAGGAGGACACTCTGAGGCATGTGTTCCCCGACACTCACCTGTTCAAGAAGGCGTTCCCAAAGGCATTGAGTTTCCTGAAGGGTTTCTTTGGATCCACAACCAGGGCATTCCCGGGGATGATCCCCTCCACGTCCCCCTGCATCACCGCTATGAAGGAGTCGGTTGTTGGCTCAGGCCCAATCCTCATGCCTGGGAAATCCTGTTCCAGCAGGTACCTGGCAGAAAGGAGCACAGTCCTGATGTGGGGATTCTTCTGGTAGAGCACCATGTAGATCTGCTACATGGCTGTCCATACATGTATCAGGGGAGAGGGGCAGGTCTGGAGCAATGAGATTTTGCAAATCCTAAGAACTTTACAGTTCCACCTGGAATTTTAGCTGGACTTCAAATCTCTGCTGTTCTTCATGACCCTTTTCCCTCCCCGAAGCAGAAAGGGTGAAGGAAAGCAAGCTTTGCGTTCAGGACAAAAGCCTAAATTAAAACTATTCCTGGCCCAAGTACAGTAAACTTCACAAGTGAGGCGACCTGCTGAAACTCCTGCACAGGTGTAGTTAGAATTCGACCCCCAGAGACTGCTGGCTTGTCATAGGGCGTTATTTATGAATCTGGCTATTTAATTAAAAAATCACTTGTATATGACATAAAATCAAAAAGTGTGAAGAGTAAACTATAAAAAATGAATCTCTGTTTCATTCCAGACCTTTTGTCCCACTCTGACACCTGTATTTTGCCTTCTGAATCCTTCTAAAAATGCTCCTACATGCATATATTATACATATTCAAACACCGTATTTACACCCTTCATTGACTGAATTTTTAAGCAAAGAAGATCACCTTTTCTTTCCTCCCTATCATCCATTTAATTCAAACTTTCAAAGACGAGTCTGTAAATCAAAACGTCTTGTGCAGTACATGGCACAGGCAGACATTCGGTAAGTTACCTGCCTCCCTTCTGTCCTTGAGTTTCAGGCTGTTTCCTTACCAATGTTAGAGCATTCGGTGGGACTCCTGACTGAAGATTGTAACTTTGCTGTTTTTCACTTGCTTTACGCAGAGAGGCTTCAAATTTTTTTAATCTACTGATGCTTTCCTATCACAGTCAATGCTCGCACACACACACACCCTGCCCCTAACAAGAGTAGTAACTGGGAAGGATATAACCATGAAGGGTGCTGTGTGAGGCACAGACAGAAATATACACGCCCTGTGCGAATCACCTGGATAATATCAATGCACCTTTCTTCTTTATGCTTAATGTATTTGGGAGGCAGCAGCACAGATGTACTCTATGCCTCTCAATCACAATACAGAATTCCACTCTATGGATTATTACAAGTCATTTTAGCAAAAATTTTACTGGTAACTTTTGATAATTTCCAATACCTAGATGGAACCAAAATGGTGGTAAGAGAATATATATAA